TTTCTTCAACGCTCCATTTTTATAGTGTCGGGTGATATATTCAACGATTAGATGCTGTGACCACTTTTATAATTCTATATTTTGGTATATTGGTAGGGTGGTCTAAACAGTTTATTTTTGACCGCTACAACCCGGGATTGAATCCCGCATTGGGCACTTTTTTTCTAATAAAAGAAATATTCTTCAATGGTCCTCTATTCTTTCAAAAGTCCAACCTCACAAGCAAGTGCAAGTAACTAAACGGGGCTCTGGCACATTTGTAAGTACAAAAGTCGAATTGATTTTCACATGTGTATATATGTGGTGCACTTACAGTTAAAGCAGTCGCCAACTTCTATCCACCATGATTATCATGGTCTGTACCACGTGTACTAGAGATAATTAACATATATATATATTTAGACGAAAAAACGAAATAAAAGAAGAAGAGTTTCTTTTAATAGAAATATATCAAAGCAAGCTTTCGGGCAAAAAACCCTTCTACAGGCCTTGCAGTAATAACCTCAACAAGATAGCTAGAAATTAATATTACTTGGGGTTTTGATGTGGTCGCGTGAGCGGGTGTTTACATTGGCATATTCCCCTATAGTTTCAAACTCCAAGCATAAAAATTCCTTATTTATTTATTTACTTAATATCTCTTTAATTATAAAATAGTCATAACTAATGTAAATCCTCATTTTCATAATTTATTCAGCAAATATGTAAATAGTTATATGTATATATTCTCTTTTTAGCCATTGTACCTGCATTATAGTGCCAAGTTTGATGCTGTTATCACGCCTGTAGAAGGGTTTTTTGCCCGAAAGCTTGCTTTGATATATTTCTATTAAAAGAAACTCTTCTTCTTTTATTTCGTCTTTTCGTCTAAATATTACCAAGAAGAATATTATAGTCGTTATATAATATATATATATATTGGTATATTATAGCGATCGTATGTAGATTATTTCCTAAAGAATGTTTTATAACACTCACTTATTACAATACGAGGAATTACAGAATATCATTATAAAGAAGAGAACAAAGGCAAAAAGTGACAAGTTTCTTTATTAAAGAAGTAGAAACTTGTCAAGCTTTCGTACAATAACTTTCTTCAACAAGCTATAATACCAATTATAATATACAAGTATCAGAGTCATCAACAATCAATCAATTCTGTCACCGTTTGCTTTTGTGAATGAAATAAATACCCAAATATAGCCATTTCTTATAATCATCGGTGGTTCAGGGGTAAAATGCTCACCTGCCACGCGGGCGGCCCGTGTTCGATTCCCAGCCGATGCATTTTTTTTTTACAATTTTTAAAACTCATTTATATATTATACAAGAATGACATCCACGGCGCCAATTTATAATTGTAACGAATAGTATTTGAATAAAAGCATTTAATCGGATAAAACCCGGGCGTTGCCCGGGTCATTCGGCTAGTATAATATAACACCCATTTATATGATTTCAAAAGTGATTTATTTTATGAATTTAGTGACAAATATTCCTATTTATATACCGATAAATTTGCGGAAGGATGGTATTCATGTACCGAAATTTGTATCTCTCCTGTGACTACTAAGGTCCATAGTCCGACACCATAGTATACAGGTTGAATTTTTATCTGAATTTTCCAAAACTGGTGTTGTCGCTCATTCCATATCACCATCTTAACGTTCTATACTGGGTTAATGAACCAAAATGAATATTTGTGTGCATTTTTAAAGGAAGATAAAAAAAAACAGATGACCGGCGATATATAAGGTCTTATACTTCCATGGTTAAGTTTCTTGTGCAATTTTTTATTTAAAAACTTTCGGACTTGTCAGTCCTTCAACAGTATTTTAACGTTAACAAATTAATAATAAATACTATTTTATTACATATTATTATATACATATATTAAACACTTATAGAGAGAAAATATATTACATTCTTTGTGTGTGAAAAAACAACTTTTGAAAATATACGTGTATGGTGGATGATACATGCTGGTTGAACGATATCTCGAGACTTCAAATTTAATTTAAAATATTCGTGCACTATTTTGGTATAAATATAGAAGTGTGCCTACATCTATGGGGTAGTATTTGTCCATATAGTATATAGTATTATAGTATTGTTTCAGGGAAGAACGTTTATTTTTAAGTTTTGTATATGAGTATAGTTTTTTTTAAAGTTCCCTATATAAAATCAGGACGATAGTTGTTTTAATAGTTTGCATCCAGCTGATACTTCTTGGTTTTATAATCATATCCATTCTGGTATGTGATGTTTTGTTTGGTGTCAGTCTGGGTATTTTACATATTGGTGAAACTATGTAAACATTTTTTACTAATCGTACTAACAACAGTCATTTTATAACGCTACAGAATTACAATAATGGAAAAAACTTAAGGAAGTTGTACCTTTTAGCATGTATATTGGGATTTAGACAATAACTCTGAAAGATATTACAGTGTCCTTTATTGAAAGCACACGAGATAACCAAGTGTGTATTCACTCATGGATAAAACTTAAGGAAGTTGTACCTTTTAGCATGTATATTGGGATTCAGATAATAACTCTGAAATATATTACATTGACCTTTATTGAAGACACACGAGATAACCAATATAAACTCATGGACAAAACTTAAGGAAGTTGTACCTTTTACATGTATATCTGGATTTAGTCAATAACTCTTAAAGATATTACAGTGACCTTTATTGAGATACACGAGATAACCAATATACACTCATGGACAAAACTCAAGGAAGTTGTACCTTTTACCATGTATATTGGGATTCAGACAATAACTCTGGAAGATATTACAGTGACCTTTATTGAAGATACACGAGATAACCAAGTGTGAACAGCCTCTGTCTCCTTCATAAAGTGCAGACGACCGGCGATATCAAAGACTTTCCATTTATAAAGTTTTATCCATGAGTTTAGAAGACTACGAGGGAAATTTTGCCTGTAGGAAATGAAGATTTTCGTGTGGATTTAATGCATATCAAAGTCCGCCCTAGACTGACGAGGGCCATTAGCCCGAAACCATGGTCTCTAGGTGGACGCTTATCAGTTTGCCAAAGTTGGTGTTGTGGCTTTGTCACCTACCCGAGTATGCAATTTGGTAGAGGCGGTCAAAAGACAATGCTGAGTTTTTGTGTCTACTGCTGGTACAAAATTACATAAATAGGTGCCGCTCAGCAAGAGCAACCTAGTTCATGATAATTGAAACAGTGAATAATATGTGAAGGTTATTCACATATTAAACAAATTTAAACGCGGGATTCAATCCCAGTTCATGACTGTCGGGAATCGAGCGTGTTACCCTCTCATCCACCGACTCTTTTTTTTTGCGTCTATTTCGACGGGATAGTTGACCCCCATTTTTATAGAATACTAAAAGGGAAAGCATTTAGATAATTATTAAAAAAAAACTTACTTTCAGTATTCTCATTTCAGATTAATAGGCCATCAAGAATTTTCATCTATCCTAATTCTCTATTTAATTATAATCCTGTATTTTTTAAAGATAAATACAATTTTACTGTCGAATATATAAGCAGAATCGTCCAATACAGTTTTCGTCAATTTAATCTACCAGACGCTTCTTTAGATCTCTAATACTGTATTGGATCATTCTGCTTATATATGGTACAATGAAGGGTGGAATCTTTAAATACAGTATTAGAGATCTAAAGAAGCGGTCTGGTAGATTAAATTGGCAAAACCGCTGGGAGAATTCACTACTGATGAGCCAAGACCTTCCCAATATTTAATCCTCACAGTAAGAAGCGTCAAAAAACCCTCTTATTTTCAAAAAATAATATATAGATAATGAAGAAATTAAAATTTAAACATACGATCCTTTTTAGTTTTTGATTTGTTACCAACTTCAGATTACCTTCACGCCAAACCTACCAAGGAGGAGGTAAACTAGCTAAAATAGAGAAAAACATTTAATTCCAATAAAAAAAAACAAAGAATTCCACAATGATAATAAGAAAATTAGAGTTAAAACAAAAGAGACGTTTTAATTAAAGGGAAACGCACCTGGGATGTTACAACATATTAGATTCTGGAAGGAAAAAAAAGGAAAAACTCTTATCTCACCCTTGTATCTTTTCCCAAATTCTTATTTAATTGCGTTCTTTTTTTCCCCCCCAAGTAACAACTTAGTTAAAAACATTGAGTTTTTACAGAAAAGAAAAAAAAAAGGTTAATTGTTTCATTTTATTAAAACACAAAAGTGTATTCTTTTCATTTCATTTGTACCTTTTTTTTTCTAAAACTTTTTATTATAGTGTGTTTCTTTTGTTTGGTTTAAATGTTTTTGTTTTATTTGTAGGTGTAAGATTAAATGCTAATTATTAAAAAGTTGAAGATAGGGTTAACTTGATATAAAAATAGAAGATAAAAAGTTAAACAAGATACAATTATTGCTTTATAGGTAATAGACTTAATCCAATAAATTAATAGTGTGTGACGTTTTGGTAACAGCTTTGTTATCATCATGATTAATATTTATTCTTTTGTTTGATGATGTAACACAATGTACAGTGTACATATTACAAGCTACAATTTCTAATTACTATATACAAAATTTTGACATCAAATATGTAATTTGCGTGCTTCCAATGTTCAATTATGTTAATTTCACGATGATTTGTATATAATTTCAGATTTATACGCAATTATCCTAATTGTGGATGGCGTGTCTTTGCAACTGTTCAATAAATGAAATAAATGGTGACAATGCTGTTACCGAAACGTCAAACCCTATATTAATTTATTTGGATTAGGTCTTATTTTCTTGTAGCTATAATATATATCAAAAATTGTGCTTTTTCAATATAAACATATTTAAAAAAAAACACACTTATTCTAAACCATTTTTGAAGATTGATTTATAATTTTGTTAATTTCCTTTACTATATCTCATTGTTGTGAGTATCAAAGTATTCTGTCACCGTTTGCTTTGTGAATGGAAAATACCCAAATATGGCCATTTCTCATAACCATCGGTGGTTCAGTGAGAGAATGCTCGCCTGCATGCGGGCGGCCCGGGTTCGATTCCGGCCGATGCATTTTTTTTTTTTTACAATTTTTAAAACTCATGTTTATATATTATACAAGAATGACATCCACGGCGCCAATTTATAATTGTAACGAATAGTATTTGAATAAAAGCATTTATCGGGTAAAACCTGGGTGTTGCCCGGGTCATTCGGCTAGTTTGTGTATAAAAGTAAACAGTAGATAAATATAGGTAATGAAAGTATTAAAACATGAATGTTTATTTTACAAGTAAAACAAAGGTTATAAACACACCGATTTACACGGTAGATACGTTCCTGAGAAAAAACGTGTAAATCGAGGGATAGGTGTATATTAAACTGTCAATCTGAATAGGTGTTCGCCCCACCATGATTCAGAGCCTCCCAATATTCTTTTCAACATAGGTAGTATAGAGTAGAATATCGCATTTAGTATAGTGCGATAAAAACAAAACAAAACTTATTTGGAAACCGTGTAAAAGCGAAAACGTGTAAAACAAGTACCGTGTAAATCGGGGGATAGTTATATATTTTTATCTCAATATATATTAAGTATTTAAATATGAATATAATAATGTGTATATAAAATTGTATTATATTATTAAGTTGTTAAACGTGATATCCTGTTAAAGGATGACAAGTCGAAAGCTTGAAAATAAAAGTTGCACAAGAAACTTGACCTTGGAATCTTCATTTATTTCATACATAAAACAAAAGTGTTTAAGTAAACACAAGAAACCATAGCAGAAAGTATAAATAAATATCTATAAAAATAAATGTAACCTTTCCTGTCAAATTAGAAACCAAAAACTAAGTGCCATCTATTGACGTTACCTCACCCAGCGGACTCCCTTCCTGTTTGGGAACTTTATCATGCATGAAACTACCAAGTGAATCTTTGATGTCGCCGGTCGTTGTTTTTTTTTTTTGAAGGAGACAAAGGCAAATTTGTTCAACACTTGGTAATCTCGTGTTTCTTCAAATAAGGGTCACTGTAATATCTTTCAGAGTTATTGTCTCAATCCCGATATACATGCTAAAAGGTACAACTTCCTTAAGTTTTGTCCATGAATGTATACACACTTGGTTATCTCGTGTGTCTTCAATAAAGGTCACTGTAATATCTTTCAGAGTTATTGTCTCAATCCCGATATACATGCTAAAAGGTACAACTTCCTTAAGTTTTGTCCATGAATGTATACACACTTGGTTATCTCGTGTGTCTTCAATAAAGGTCACTGTAATATCTTTCAGAGTTATTGTCTCAATCCCGATATACATGCTAAAAGGTACAACTTCCTTAAGTTTTGTCCATGAATGTATACACACTTGGTTATCTCGTTTGTCTTCATAAAGGTCACTGTAATTCTTTCAGAGTTATTGCCTCAATCCCGATATACATGCTAAAAGGTACAATTCCTTAAGTTGTGTCATGAGTGTATACACACTTGGTTATCTCGTGTCTTCAATAAAGGTCACTGTAATATCTTTCAGAGTTATTGTCTCAATCCCGATATACATGCTAAAGGTACAACTTCCTTATTTTTGTCATGAAGTGTATACACACTTGGTTATCTCGTGTGTCTTCAATAAAGGTCACTGTATATCTTTCAGAGTTATTGACTCAATCCCGATATACATGCTAAAAGGTACAACTTCCTTAAGTTTGTCCATGAGTGTTATACACACTTGTTATCTCGTGTGTCTTCAATAAAGGTCACTGTAATATCTTTCAGAGTTATTGTCTCAATCCCGATATACATGCTAAAAGGTTACAACTTCCTTAGTTTTGTCCATGTGTATAACACTTGGTTATCTCGTGTGTCTTCATAAAGGTCACTGTATATATTTCAGAGTTATTGTCTCAATCCCGATATACATGCTAAAGGTACAACTTCCTTTAGTTTTGTCCATAGTGTATAAACACTAGTTATCTCGTGTGTCTTCAATAAAGGTCACTGTAATATCTTTCAGAGTTATTGTCTCAATCCCGATATACATGCTGAAAGGTACAACTTACTTAAGTTTTGTCCATGAGTGTATACACACTTGGTTATCTCGTGTGTCTTCAATAAAGGTCACTGTAATATCTTTCAGAGTTATTGTCTCAATCCGATATAATGCTGAAAGTACAACTTACTTAAGTTTTGTCCATGAGTGTATACACACTTGGTTATCTCGTGTGTCTTCAATAAAGGTCACTGTAATATCTTTCAGAGTTATTTGTCAATCCCGATATACATGCTGAAAGGTACAATTCCTTAAGTTTTGTCCATGAGTGTATTCACATATTTTCTTCCTAACTGTAAAACTAGCAGTATAAGTAGACCAAATCTATCAATGTGTGTGTGTCAAATGTAACAAATGAAACGTTGCAAATCTGTGACTTGTTATGTTTATACAATAGCAACTCTCAATTTTCCATATTTAATAATATTAAGAATACATTTTATAATAATATTATGGGAATTATACTGAATACGATAAAATAACACAACCTTTTACTCTATACCTATCAGCATATCAAACACAAATAGAAAAATATTATTTAAAATACATATATCTTTCGAGAGAATTTATAAAAACAAAAATAGTAAATGCATACTGCATGGCTATATATGCATCTATGGAATGTTATCTCAAAAGGAAAACATTCCTAGTGGGAGACATTTTAAGGATTTTAGAGCACAAAGGGGGAAAAAAGGGAAATCATATACAAAAAGTGTAAATTCAATTTAATGGAGAAATCAATGGACGACATTTCTGATCCCTTTCCTCAGCTCTGAGTCTCATTTCTGGAGTTGCCGAAAGTTTAGACAATCGGTCTTTCTCATAATTCCTACTATATGCAAATACGGAACCTATGTTCCAATAATGTGGAATTGGATATGTATACACAACTTTTATTTATTTACAAAATTTATTGATGCGTTCTATATTTATTCAATATATTCTATGATATTTAATTTATTTAAAGCAGATTATATACAAGGGTATCATTCCTTTTGTAATAATGTCATTGTACATTTCTTGATTGGTTATTGAAGCAGAGAGGACTTAGAGGAAGACTCAAGATCACGACCTACCAGGAAGACAACGAATAAATAAACACAAAACTTTAAAAGGTCTTTCTTCTCTTTCTTCACTCAATCATATTAAGGTATCAAGCTTGTTAAATGCTTGTTGGTTGTCTGCTGGATGAGTAGAGTCATCAATGAATGAGTCAATAGTCAATAATCTGTTTTGGGTTGCAGGTTGAGAATTCAAAATTCGAAACCATTTTAAAGGCGTAAGATTCTTTTTGAAATTAAACAATTTTCTACTGCCCTTACTGCAATGGAAAAATTAATGGGAGGGCTGGTTCCATTGCAGTAAGGGCAGTAGAAAATTGTTTAATTTCAAAAAGAATCTTTAGCCTTTAAAATAGTTTCGAATTTTGATAACAGATTACGGCGGTGCATCATATTATAAAGGTTGAGAATTGCACTTAATACTCTAAGCTTGATACTTTAAAGGTAATTCATTTTATTTATTTGCTTTAAGTATGGAAACCCGCTCGGGAAACGTGTATAACATCAAAAAAGGAGGAAACAAGATCGATGAACCTGCAAAGCTGTAACTTAGTGCAACAATACGTTATATATATGAAATACGATACTTTATAAAAAAATATTTGAAAAAAACCTTACACAATACGTTTCTTTATTACAAACACCACGAGCTTTCGTAATAAAGAAATATCTTGCGTAAGGTTTTCAAATTTTACAGCATATATGCAAATACGATAAAATACTAAAAAGTAGCAAAGAATAATAGATCAATCAACACGGAGATAGCTAGAAACTGCTGCCAGATTTATTGGGTATCAAATTTCTCTATTTATTTAACCTCGGTGGAAGCCTTTTAATTCTCTCCTCATCTCAAATATTTAATCCAACCTTCTAATATTACTTCTTCCATTCCTTCAGC